GTTTTGTCTCTTGGGGCCACCGTACTTGGACAGTGAACGTGATGAAACTATTGAGGAAAAAAAAAAAACAAAACACCAACACGCATATATATTGTTTATCATGACTCTGGTTTTACATGGCCCATCAGCACAATTTAAAAACTGGTATACATCACCGTGTTGCTTTGTCTTTAAGTGGTCATGTGATTGGCTTACCACAACTACTTTATTCTTCCTCAGTCAAACAGCAGAACTCATGCGATTGTTTTGCCCCCTTAGCTCCAGGTGTTGTGCTAGACAGTGATCGTGATTACCGTCCGAAGGAGCGCACAGCTGCTTAAAGTTGTAGCGGCCAGATTACTTACAGCTACTTCCATGCAACGGATATAGGACGCGGTAAACTGAACACAGCTTCAACCGTCTGTTTGTTGAAAAAAATAGTAACGGACCACATTTTCTTGTAACTGTAACGGTGTTGTAACAATAGGAATAGTAATTAGTTTTACTTATTACTGAAAAAAAGTAACGCCATTATTCCCATCACTGCTGACAGTTGGCACATATGCAGAAAGCATTTCATTGTTGTCAAATGAAGGAAAGACTTACATGAGGACAAATGTCTTGCAAAAGAAAACAGACAAGTTTAATGTAGTCTTTGTATCATGTCATCTGTGATATTATGTACAATTCCAATGTATTTTGTCCATCTCCCTTAAATAAACAGGCAGCCTTAAAGTATGACATATTCATATACAAAGTACACACATTTGTGTACTGTCTCAGTGTGACCTTTAAGACATTTATAATGTTAAAGTAGCTTGATGTGTAGGTGCTGACCATAAACACATTTTGAATGAAAACCGGGGAACTTTGGTCACACAGAAACAAGTCTCTATCCTTTGTGACCATATGGATCAGTCCCTCATATTACCATTGAGGGACCAAGGCACCAAGTTAATACTTTAAAAAGCTGCAGCAATACACAAATATAAACAATACTTGGTGACAACTTTGCTTTTAGCCTCTAAGGTCCAGGGTATAATTGGCCGTTTTTGACTACTTTTGATTTGGCCTCTATATTTCACCTTTAAAAACTGTTTCTTGCCAATCTGTTATTTTCTTATTTTGACAAACTGGATCAGCACAATTTATCTAAATTCAGAAAAAAATTGAATACGAGTAAAAAGTCATATTTTTGACTGTAAAAACCACAAGCATGTTTAACGAATCATTTTTATAACTTAAAATACAAATAGAAATTTTACATTCTTTAAAAATATGCACAAGTTTTGCAAACAAAGTTATATGGTACTATTTACCTAAAAATGCATCCAAGGCTCAGACGTTTTTCATACAACCATTTAAAACTATTTACAGGAAAATCAGGTGTTCTGCGTCAAAGAAGGCGGCACACAAATTTATGCAACTCAAAAAATTTTTTAGCTGTTAAAGTACGCTTCTAGCTCATATTCAGAAAGGTAGGATGGTTCGCCACTGAAATGTGGTTATTAAAGTATGCTTCTAGCTCAGATTAACAAAAGTAGGA